CTCCAGAAGCTAGAGATGCATGATGCTGCGCCTCGAGCAACTCAGGAAGGCCCGGCCAAACGCACGCAACATTTTTCAACATTGTTGCCGCAACGTGTTTGACACGTTTGACCAACCTGTGGCAACATATTGTATGATCAATTTTGAAACTGATCAAACTTCGTAGCAACATTTTTGGATGTTGAAATGTTGCTTGCGTTTGGCCGGGCCTTTACACATCTCTCATGCTCTCCAAACTTCGCGCGTGCATCCATAACTCGATATACACACGCTAAGCATGAGCCAATTCTTCGAAGTTATCAGAAATTTATTCTTTCAAACGAATCCGATATGATTTACCAGTGAGCAATTTGAAAATAGCTGACGGATGGTTTTATTTCTGCTGGGAGGTATAGCCAAAACGACCGACGTTTTGAACAAAAAATTGTTACGAAATTTCCGCTTTATGGAAGATTAATGACTAAACATCGAATAGTTTTATTTGGCCATGTTTCCTCTTCTTTCCTATGATGTAAGTTTCTGACGACTCTTTTAATATCCTTTGTCTTTTCGTCAACTGTTATTATTGCAATAGAGGGGTATGGACAAGGTCAATAGAGAAAATTTATTTTGCATTTTAGTTTTTGACATTATCATTACGGCCAAACGATCGTGGCATGTGTACATTGTGTTTTTTAGATTGTAATCGTTGTCTCTTTTGCTTACATCGGCCCTTTCAACTAAGGATAAGGTTTTACTAAATCATATTGTCGAAGGCATCAACGTTAAAAACCATTACATGAGCGAAAAACTCTGGTACCAAGAGCCCCGATGTGCGTCCTACAATTGTAGCCCAGTGACCAAGAGTAGCCGGCATCCCAGGCCACCGTGTGACCTGAATAATCGCAACCGCACGCAGGTGTCTGACAGCGATCTCGCGCAGAAAGGTTATATCTACAGAGTTGCGTATTCGACTAGATCCCAACATTTAGACAATTGCTATCGGTCCGCTTGCTTCAGACCACTCTACCGTCCGATACAGAAAGGTAGCAATTGAGTGCGAGTTTACTAAATATCATAATTTAATTCATACATACTGAGATTTACTCTGTGAAGTACTACTGTTCGTGTCTATGATTGTACGGACGGTGTATTTTCATAGTAATTTGAATATATCAACAAAGTTGAAATGGTAAATTGGCCACCGTTACGATTATAAAAGCTGACGTTTCGAGCGTTAGACCTTCGTCGGAGCGAATAGAGGAATTGTGGGTTGTGTGTGCTTTTAAAGGCAAAAAATGGAGCTACGTTTTTCATTCCACTAATTTATTCGTGTTTTTCTCGTTGCCATGTTCCCACCAATAACGTAGCTCCATGGAGCTACGAAAATGGAGCTACGTTATTGGTGGGAACATGGCAACGAGAAAAACACGAATAAATTAGTGGAATGAAAAACGTAGCTCCATTTTTTGCCTTTAAAAGCGCACACAACCCACAATTCCTCTATTCGCTCCGACGAAGGTCTAACGCTCGAAACGTCAGCTTTTATAATCGTAACGGTGGCCAATTTACCATTTCAACTTTGTTGATATATTCAAATGATTTCGTTACCCCCACCGACGCAGCCCCAAACAGTTTCTTTAGAAACTATCAGCCAATTTTTATAGTAGTTCGCTCCCTATTGTTAGAGGTTTTATTTTTTCCGACACCAAATTAGTATTTCTTTACTTCTCGTCTTGAACTACAACTTTCTTCTTGACGGGCTTGCTCAGATTTCAACTCGACTCTATATAAAGCACCTTAACTCTTCTTAGTACAACTCAACTCTGTTCTTTTCTTATTGAAAAATGCTGTGCATCAGCTTATAAAGGTGGTGCTAAAGGTGACACTACTAAGCTGTCAATCTTCGTGCATCGTCATCATTCTATCTCAACCAGCGAATCACGTTAAGTTAAGTACGACAGTTCCTATATACTAAGTATGCTCCTTCGAGTTGTTTGCGCAGTTACAAAATCATTTTCTACCTTAGATTTCATATTTTTATGGTTGAGATCGGCCAGAACAGAAGCAAGATTGATGACATGAAAATTATAATTAACCTACTGACAAAATTAGAATTATACTTGAAAACATATCTTAAAGAAAATAGCCTTAGAGGATTGATTAATAGCAACAAAATAAACAAGAAATTCAGAGAAGGAGGAGCGTTCATGAGTACCGCTCCAAGCGATGCTACATGGTCTTAGGCAGGTTATCCAAATTAAAATTCAGTGCGGAAAATGAAAAGGCAAAAGCTATTTACACTTACGGTCACCTTAAAGAAAGGGGTGTTGAAAGTGTTAAATTGAAATTTCGGAAATATTCCTTTATCGTGAATTTGACACAGTATTTGTTCCAAAAATCCAATCTAAGAATAATCAAAAGTATAAGAAGCAGGAATTTCCAGGAATTCCTGTACGAGGTTAACTTTAAACAGAGAGACTTACTCTCCTCCTTAACTAGCAGATCGACATAATTAACTAAAAATATAACTTTCCGCAAAATATACTACAACAAGTTCTAATCAGCATAGAAACTGAACATCTGCTTCCGTGCCAAATTCACAACCACAATAAGAAAAGGCAAAAGAAATTGTACTTAGATGAGACCGCCAAAAGGAATAAGACCTGTTTACTATATTTGCGTCGAGTCGCTTAAAATTGTGTCACAGTGTTATGGATATCCCCATACACATAACACTAGTGTTTTCTGTGAAGGTAGATCGTGGACAAAATGTTCGACTCGTCGTTTCGTTATGGCGTTTCATCGTTTCCACACACCGATACATCTAGTCGAGTCGTTGTTGTCAGTCCGAGTTCGACTCGTCGGATTGCCAGTTCTACAACCCCTTTTAAGAAGGCGACTTTGGTGGTAAATCGTGGACGAAATGTTCGACCCGTCGTTTCGTTGTGGTGTTTCATTTTTTCCGCACACCGATACTCTACAGTGAGCAAGGTCCATTACAGCAGTGTGCAGGACGCGTGTCATATATGAACTTTGTAACGGACCCTGAGGTTCGATTACCCATGGGAACTCAGAAGTTATTCTTTGTCCAACGATCGTGACAAGAAGTAAAACATACTTCTCTGTTTCTTTCACAAACTCAAAACTTACCATCTTTCTCTTTCATTTAGTCTGAAATAAACTTTCCATTATGATACTAAAATCCGATTAAGCAAGAAACACCTCCGCAAAGTTAAATTATAATAATCTCACGTTTAGTAGACTTTAATTATTCAAATTACGAACAAGCATCACGCTGGACGATTCTCCCCAACGTTTCAAAAGAATCGATGGCTCGAAATAATCAGGAACCGATTCGAAAAATTAAAAAATTGTATGACGATATTTTGATATTATTGAAATAATCAAAATAATATCTGAATAAGACCAAACTCTTAGCCCCAATTGCACCTTTCTCAAACCTAACCTAAAGCGTAGCCATGATTATTGTTCGATGAAGTTTCACCACTATTTTGAAAGATAAGGCTGAAATGATAACAAGGTGAACAGGGAAACCATAGGGTAGCATACAAAAACTGTAAATGTCTGAAGTTGACCTTATTAAGAGAAGAACTCTCATCAGTCAACTTGACCAATTCGCTCTTCGTTCAAATCGTAAGTACTCTTGTCGAATAAGTGACCAGAAAGACCTTCATGCGATTCAGAAACAATGGGTTCCAATTAGTAAGTTTCAACATCTAAAGCCATTTTCCAAGTAAAAAGAAAAGACCTTCGTCGCATTTAAAACTTTACCGCGAACGATCTAAGACTTGAATGTTATTAAGCTGACTGATTTCATTACCCTTCAACTTGTGGTGTTTATGTATAAATATACGTTATTAACCAAGTGCAAGGTCAAGATGTCTGGATATTGGCCGAGTTTTTTTTTGTGCATTTTTGTGGACCGAGACGAAGTCTTGGTTATTAAAGGATTTATTATAGTGCAAAAAGGTTTCGCTTTACTAAGAATTAACAGTAGTGTTTACTTCGAGGGCCGGGAAAAAAAGCCAACTGTGTTTGTAGCACAACAAACAAGAGAGTCGTTTCTGATTTTTTTGTTTTGACCGTCTTCTGCAGCTTTTTGCGTTTCCATCGCTGAAATCGTCCGAGAATTACGAACGCAGTTATAATTCACTTTTTTTTCTGCGTGGGATCAATGCGGGCAATCCCGTGCGGGCAAGATGGGCCCACCTTGCCTGCTCGAGTAGCCAATCAAAACACAGGATTCGCTTCAGCTTGCCCACGGGCGCTGCGAGCGATATGATAAGGTCCTTTACCAACATTTAATGTCTGTCTAACATACCTTTATTAATTCTCATTGTTAGACATATACATCTAGATAACACAAGGTTGCCCTCCAGGATGACTTATGCTATCCCAAAAGGTACAGACAAATTATGGAATTTTCAACATTAAGGTTCCATGGTTGGTAAGTTCGGAATGACAAAATAGGCTCTTTGCACGACTTGATCACATGATCAACTTTCGGTAAGCACGAAAACAGTTCACTTTTGAAAACATTTTGTCGGCACAAGCTGAAAGAGCGTATTGAAATTAAGTAACCTGAGAATTTTCACCCGTATATCTCAAAAGATAGCGATTGCAACGGCCGCCGAAAGTAAGAGGCATTTCTATGAGAAAACTAACGTTTGCCACCAAGTCATGCTGATATATGGTTTTCTATACAAATCCTTGTATATTCTAAAATTTTTCAAAACTGTCGTTAAACCTTTTACCAATTTAATGGTTCAAATTGCCGTCTTGGATTAAAAGGCTATTTGAGCCCTGTAATGTTTGAGGAAATATTTCATGACAGTTTTGAAAATTTCAAAATTACAAGGATTTGTACGGAAAACAACGTTAGTGTGACAAGGAAGCAAAAGTTGTTTTTCTCATACAAATGCGTCTAACTTTCGGCGGCCGTTGCAACCGCTACTTTTGAGATATAAGGATGAAAATTCTCAGGTTCCTAGTTTTAATATTTCAGCTTATGCTAACAAAATTTTACAAAAGTGTACTGTTTTCGTGTTTACCGAACTTTTATCACGTGATGAGGTCATGCAAAGAGCCTATTGATGAGATATAGCTTCTCTCTTTAGTAAACGTTTTAAGCTAAGGTTAAGTCAATTATTATTGCCAAATATCAATGGCAGATTAAAACTACGCCTTTTCTGGCTTTCCGTTTAAAACTAACATTCTTAGCTTTCTTTTGTCGTCTTTCTTTTTCAACTAGCTTCTTTTCTTTTTTTTTACCCCTAAAGTTTGGAATAGTGTAAGTAATGACGTTACGCTTCTCTCTCTAAGACGTTGAAAGGCACGACAGCGGCAGATTAGAAAACATCTCCCTTTACAAAATCAATCCTTTTTATCACTATGACTTATTTGCTTATTTTCATCGCCGTGAACTAACTTTACATTTCCTTGATAAACGTTTAGTGATCCAACTTGAACAGTTCCAATGTTTGCCCCTGCAAATAGTGTTGAGATTACGCCCGACCCTAACTGATTAGTTGTAGCTTTCATAAAAGCATTGACGTTGGTGTTCCCGACAGCAGTGCTACTGACCTCATTTCCAGGATTTCCTTGGGGTGATATTTGAGAAAATTCATGATCTTGCACACTTCTGTCGCTACTTGGCTTTCCTTTTTCTACCGAAACGACTGATCTTGGTTGTTGTGCTGAATAAACAAAAATTAAGAAGTCAGATGTTTGTTGCTTACATACTTTTAAGTGTCCTTATCAAATATCCTTCCATGTCAAAATTTAATCAGACTTAAAAGGAAGAACAAAGATACCTTTTTCTTGTTGATTCATTGGCAGCTAAGGCCCTGAATTTCACTTCTATACGAAAATGCACAGGAGTAAACAAGACATGTCCTCAAATTCTGTATTGTGAACAGATTCAAACCTCGGCGCCACATAATTCCCCCTAATTCAATGACTCAAGGCGCGTAACCAACACCTTGGCCGTAATCAAAGGCTTCCTCTGGAAAACTTGTTGGATACACCACTAGGAAAATTCATTATCTCTTTGGACAGAAGCACGTAACCTTACTTTATTTAGTTATTTCGCAAAGTTTAAGTTCATCAGAGCGCGATACTAGCGAATCAGAATTTACTTTCTGATAAGGAATCATCCCTCAGCAAACAGCTGAGAGCAGAACCAAAAAGCCTTGACTTCATTCAACTGATGGAATGAAACGTTTAAGAGCTTTTTAAATGGATAACTGAAACGCGGAGGAGACGACATCGACATTCAATCGGCCATTCACTGTGGAGCGAATAAGGTCACTCAACCGTAACTAAATGATAAAAATAGGTGTAAATTCAGTTTGCAAATTAGGGTGCAGTTGTTGAAAGGGAAGTTAAGGGTTACCAAAACGTACCACGCTAACAAAGGTTTCAGATTAATCCAGTTGATATCGTTATCCACCCTTCACACAACTGGCTTAAACCAGGTACATGATACATAAAAAATACCCAAGAACGAAAGATAATACCACCCAGCACATACATTCAGGAATTATTCAAATAGGCCGATCCATGGTACTGCAAAGCCTGAGCATATTTGACATGATCGCATTCAAGCGATATTTTGAGACCATACGTCTTTAACCTAGAGGTTCCCTGGGCCTCGATGACCACAGAAACCAGTAAACAAACCTACGTTGCATTCAGTCCATTTAGGTTCAACAGTGATGAAAATATCACGCCCACATAAAAAAAATGCTCAAAGTTAATCATTATGAAGCTAACCTTCCATCTCTGATCTCCTACGTTCAAGATTCCAATCCAAAACGAGAGATTCCAGTCTTTTTTCAATCTTATCTAATGATTCTTTAATGGTCATCTCATCCTTTACCCACTCCTCAATTAACTCCCTGTAGAATTCCCCGAAATCAGGGTCCATGCATTCATATTTGAGATCATCAATAGTGCGTGCAAAGTGTTCCCCTCCAAGTCGCAGTAAAGTTTCTTTTATATCTTGCCACAGTTGATGGAATGTTGGGTCATCGATTGAAGCATTTGCAGCGTGACCATATATCCTGTTTCTAAAGGCCTTCAAACGAACAATGTCAGCTGCAGTAGATGTCTCCGCTGCACAGGGTAATGAATTCCAACCAGTGGCAGGAGGAACAAGGTTACAAATATTTCGAAGTAAAAGAGTTAGCAACGTGATGTCAAAGTCTCCTGATGAAACATTGGTTCTAATGACAGGATACAGCCTTCCCCATTGGATTGGATTCAACACTCTTCTTTTTCGTAAGGAGTTTAAGATGGAATAAACCGATGGACTTCTCAATACCAGGTGGAGTGACTCTCCAGGACATGGACGTAACCTGTCAAAGGTCTCTCTTAGGACTTGCGTTCCTACGTCAATAAGAAGGCGACAGAACCGCGCATAATTCGTGGTCTCTTTGGTAGAACAGAATCGTAAATCGCCGTGAGCCATAATCACACTTTCACACCTCCAACCTTCAATCAGTAATTAAAGTATGGTTAACTCAATCACCCATTACAATTACAGTAAACTGGGGCAACCTTTTTACTAGCGTAATTTCGTTTCGTAATAAATTATAAATGCATTAAGAAAACAAGCGAAACTGATGAAACATCTTATTTACTTTTTCTCAGAGGGCACGGTCACGAATTCTGCATAATATATGCATTATTGACCAGGCGTGAGATCAAATTGGCTGGATTTTAGCCGAGTTCTTTTTTTGCGCATTTATGGACTGAATTAACTTGATCAAAAAAGAAATTGTCTTGTATCAAAAGGATTTCGCTTTGAAAAGAAAAATGTCTTGGTTATTTCGAGAGCCGGGAAAGAAAGCAAGGTGTGTCTGTAGCCAAATAAACGCAAGCGTCATTTAATTTTTTTGTTTTTCGTTATTTTCCTTTGTTTGATATAACTGTCTTCTGCCGCTTTTTGCGACTTTGTTGCCGACATCGTCCAAAAGTTACGAACTTTGTAAGTCCGCTCCGCGTAGTTTTTATGCCCGGGATCAAAGTGGACAATCCCGGGCGAGCGAGAAAGGCCCATCTCGCCCGCTCGGGTAGCCAATCAGAAGACAGAATTCGCTTTATTTTGCCCACGGGCGCTGCCAGCTGCATAATAAATATGCGTAATTAATGATGATGACAATGATGAAAAATAAAATCATTTTTTCTTCAAACTTTTGCGATGCGCATAGCAAACCTGTTCAGAGGTTTATGAAAGGAAATTCTAGCTTAAAGATAGAATTTTTCAATGCGCCGATCACACCTTTAATACATATCTGCAAGATAAGGCTATCTTGTTTCACACGTCATCCTGGAGTAACTGTGAGATGCTTATCAGTGTCATCACGTGCTAATTCCGAGTTACATTCGAAGCGATTCGAAAAAATCATCACCAAGCGTTGAACGACCGAAGATGTTCCGAAACAAACAAAAGCCAAGAGTGTGGAATATCGGGTAAAACTCGGTGGACTTTGTTGTGGGCGAAGAGGTCGTTCGCGTACTATTGTTACACTCAGTCACTCGACAGGACTCGCCTCCATAGGAGGCAGTAACCATGAGAATGACTTACAAAGTATCAAGTTAATGAACAGCTGGTCAAAATTTCTGGTGTTATGCTAAAATTATCTCTAAGAAAGTGCCTGTGGGAATGGGAGTGGTAGTCTGAATTTCAGCCGTCTCTTCCTTTTACCCCAAGGGGGGCGCGTGCCCCTTGGGGTAAAGGGAAGAGACGGCTGAAATTCAGACTATGTGAGCGGGGGAGGGGTATATATACATATACACCCCTAAGATTGATTTTAGGAGCACGTTTAGAGACTAAAAATTCGCATACCATCTGATACTGGCTCTTTGAGAGCCTGATTTCCTCACAATCCACTCTTAGATAGACGTATAGATAGATAGACGTTTATTGAGAAGAATACCTTAATAGCAGCTGGAAGCTGAATTGCAAAGGTGTACAAATTATGTAATAGAACTATACAATAAAATCAAACCTAAAAGGGAACTAATTTACATATACAATTGTAATAAATGTTAGTTAAAATGTCTTGCGCTTGCCGGAATGAAAGTATCTCTGAACCGATTTGTTTTAAAGGAAACTCTAAATGGTCTGCGTTGTCGTAACTCCATAAGTTGACCTCGGTTATCGAAAGGCAGTAAGTGGTACAAACAATCCAAGGGATTGGAGACGATGTTGTTAAAGAATTTTAAGCAAAGGTCTTCTCTCCGATCCCTTAGGGTTTTCAGCTCTGCCATCTGAAGCACTTCTCTATAATGATTATCATAACCGTATATAATTTTCAAGGCTCTCTTTTGGACACGCTCTAAACCTAAGCTCAAATAATTGGGGAGGCTATAATGGTAGACCTGACATCCATAAAGTAAGACAGATTGAATACAAGCAACATAAAAATTAACTAATTCAGGTGATGGTACCTTAGCTCGCTTTAACTGAGTTAAAAAGTAAAGGCGCTTAGCGGCCTTTTTAATCGTCTCAGTAACGTGAGTGTTCCACTTGAGGTTGTCTTGAAAATACACACCCAGTAATTTTACGACACTAACGGCACTAACCTTAGAGCCATTAATTTCTATCAGATCGTAGGAAGGAGGGGAGCGCACAAAGGAAACTCTTAGCTCATTACATTTTTTCGGATGGAGTTGAAATGAATTGAGTGTTGACCAGGTAGCTACTTCGTTTATCATAGACTGAGCATTGCTAGGACCACCCTTGCTTATGATTTCATACACTGTCGTGTCATCTACATATTTTATACAATCACTGGCTGATGGTACTTTCAAATCGTTTATCATAACCAAGAATAGCTACGGTCCCAATTTTGTTCCCTGCGGTACTCCAGCTCGGACCGATCCCCACTCTGAGAGACAATCATGTGCAAGTTTGACCCTTTGTTTCCTATCTTTAAGAAAGGCTATTATCCAATTAATGATGTAAGGGTTAATGTCGTAGGTCTTCAGTTAACAAAATTGAAAAAGGATGCGCAGTCCCCCACACTGAAACACAAATGGGAAATTTCTATCCTAAAATCATTTAATCAGGTCATAAATATAGCTTGTGTAGATAGGATGGAAAGATGATGAACTATCAACTGTTCCAGCGTCTTATACCATCTGTCAACCTTTGACCTTCTCTAAGTACATACAGGTGAAAAATGAAAAAGCTGAAAGTCCTAAAATAATCTTACTATGTAGCATATATTTACTGGGGTTTCCTGTGGAAAAGCCCGAGATGTAAATTTAGTTGTGGTCGTTGCATATTTTCCGTGAAGGCATCTCTGCCGTTTCTGTGAAAGCACTGGTTATCAGGCTCCGACAATGTAAGCAAAAGTCGTCTAAAATGATTTGTGGTTACTGGTTTTGTTAAAAAAAGAACCCCCTAGTCACCAATTTAGAGGCTAATGGCCGTTTTTATGCTGCAGACGTTAAAGTCGTCTAGACGCATTTAACGTCTGAGACGTTAAAGTCGTTTAGTATGAAAATGGGACGTACAAAAGTAGTTAAATACGTATATTTTTCTGAAAAAGTACTAGGCTCTACTCTCGGAAGAAACTGGACACGAGTTAAAGCGGCGCCCAAAATGAACTTCAAGCCCGCGAAATGCGAACAAATTGTTCAAACTCTAACATGGCGGTGGCGTTACAACTGTTAAATCTATTTCTCGCCATCGCCAAGAAAGGCATGACTTGGAATGCAGATGTTCGTGACACAGAAAAGTGAATCGAGAAAGCGAAAACTTCAGATGATGGAAGATGATGAAATAGACACAGCCAAAGCAATAGGTTTGTGTGCCGTCCGAGCCAAACGACCCAGAAAGGAAAGAAGCCCAGACGAACAGAGGAGTTCCTCGTGGTGGAGACATGGCTACCAAAATTGGGACGACAGTGCGTTCAAAAAACGTTTGAGGATCGAGCAAACCAAACCAAACCAAAATTGGGACGACAGTGCGTTCAAAAAACGTTCGAGGATCGAGCAAACGTTTGTTAAATCGAGCAACGTTTCAGTTTATTCTGGCGAGATAGAGGCCCAGCTAATCAAAGAGCCAAGTCGCTTCAAACCTGTGCAGATAACTCCAGACACGCAGCTTGCCATTTGTTTGTCTAGCTCAGCCCATGAATGCACCTACAACACAGTAGGAGACCTGTTTGGTGTTGCTGAATCAACCGTGAGTGTCATTTTTAACCAAGTATGTAAGATACTTGTTTCAACTCTCTACGACAGGTTTGTGTACCTACCCAGAAATAGTGCCGAATGGAAGCAAGAGCTTGAAAGCTTTCTTGAAAACTGGGAATTTCCCTGCGTAGGAGCCTGGGATGGTTTCCATGTTTACGTCAGCACGAAGTTGAAAAATTATTTTAGCTTCAAGAAGAGATATTCGGTATCCAGCTTGGGATTCATTGTGTCTAACAAGAGGTTTCTGTGGGCAGCCGTGGGGGCTCCTGGCTCTACCCACGACTCAAGGTTCCTGAAAAGTTGCGACCTCTATGCTGACATTCGACAGGGACGGATTTTCCCTAGTTCTGTGCTCAGAACAAGGGAGTATGGAGACATACCATTCACAACGGTCGGTGATTCAGCATTCCCACGCAACACGTGGCTAATGAAGTCGTACAGTGAAAGTACAAGAGACCCAAGGAAACGCTACTTAAACAAGAGACTTTGCTCGGGTAGAGTTGTTTCAGAGCATGCTTATGACATGTTAAATGGAAGATCGAGCATCCTTTGCAAGAAGACAGAGTGTAAACTAAAGAACATCAGGCAAGTCATCATGGCCTCCATTGCCTTGCACAATATACGCATTGCAAGGGATGATCCATGAAGTCCTAGGTGGAGGCTGGACATTGAACATCTGCGCCTCATTAGGAAGAGAGGCAATGGTGAGCAAGACAATGAGGCAGATCACATCAGAACGAGAATCACGAACTGGCTCTGGGATATCCACCAGCAAAGGCAGTCAGTGGAGTAAAAGAGGAAATGAACAGAAAAATTGAGGCCTGCGTTTATATGTTTTGTACCCCAGACCACACCCAACTTACCCCCCAGCAACCAGCAAGATGGACTAGAATGTGGAACTAGACTATAAGCAATCAACGTGAGGACTACAAAACTGTAATATCAAAACGTCTTTACTTAGTCTACTGAAGTAGAAAATCCTTGGACAAAGTAAGGATTTTACTACGCCTGAAAAACAAAATTCATTTCTTAAACATCTTACAGTTGACTACAGTAAACATAGATATTGGGAATCTCAAGCAAGTTTATTAAGACTGGTTAAACAAAACAATGATAAAACAACAGCCTGAAATCTTTTCTTGTTGACAGGCTAATCAAGCAAAATTTGCTGAATTTCGCCTATCAAAAGGTTTTTCGAGAAGGCACTCTACCGATTATAACTATCTAAATTTGTGTAGTGTGGTTGTTGACTCTCAGCTCCAGAATAGGCACTTAGAAATGCTGGTTCATGCATCACCCAAGCATTTTGGTATGTTTGCACAGTCTGCTGAATACGGGCCATTATCTCCATCATACGCAGTTCATGTTGTCGGTTGAATTCTGCCTGTTTCTCCTGAAATTTAAGAAATGCTTCTTCCCTTCTCTGATCTGCCTCAAACCCAGTTTGGATTCGTTTACCTTGTGCTTTTTGAAGATTCTCAAAAGTTGTAGATGACTGGCTGATGGCATCTTTCTGTGAAATTATTTTACATTTCCTGGGTCGAACAGAGACACTTGATTTCTGTACCTCTTTCTTGTCCTTCTTGGATGCCTTCTTTAATAAACTTCATTTCTTCAATGGAGGTCCTTTTATGGTCTGCATCAGTTGGTTGACATTCGACTCTGATCAAAAAATTGAAAAACACCTCTTTTAGGTTCAGGAAAACTGCGATGTTAACTGTATTTTGAGTCAGGTTTCAATACAGTGAGGCAAATTAAGTTGAAGCCCTGACCTATAAACATTCAGCATACCTTTATATCAAAATCACGTACACTGACATGACCATGTACAGGTGTGTATGTACAGTGTGTTGTAGGCCTGTTTCTGACTGACCGTGCATTGGTTAAAAGTGTGTGTCTTAAATTATTCCTTTAAAATTCTGAGAAAATAAGAAACCATTATATTCTAATTTACCTGTTAAATTCTTCGTCACTCTCATCCCCTGACAAGTGTTCAGAACTTGCTTCTGCTAGAGAGGAACTTGCATTTAACACCTGCTTCTTCTCACGAGGAATCATAGCAGAAGCACTCTTCGCCATGGTTACTTCAGTCTCGTCTTCCTTGTAATTGTCACTATATTCATCATCTTCACTGCTACGGGTACCATCGCTTTCTATGTCTGCTGCCTTAGCGGCAACCTTTAACTCTGTATGTGTTTCAGAGAAAATGGGGTTGATGATGTTAAACCATTCAGGTTCATCTGTTGCTGATTTACCACTGCCAGAGTTTGCCCTGTCGGTGTATTTCCTCCACTGCTCTTTCAGCCATTTATATTTTGCTCTCAGCTTAACAACTGATGTACCGATTTCTTTTGCATTCCTTCCTTAGAACTGGTTGTTGTCTTCGCTTGTAAACGAGCATCTAACTCTTTCTTAATGGGTTAAAAAACATGAACATTAGCCGACTTTTTGAGTGCAAGAGTCTCCAAAGTTAATGCAAATTCAGTTCGGTCGTCTGCGAGAACACATGCAAAAGCCATAAGTTCATCTTCACTCCACTTTCTACCACGAGACTCCTTCATGCTCTTCTCGGCCGCCATGTTGTTTTTCACTCGTGCCAGTCTTCTCTGGACGAGTCGAGCTTAAATGCGTCCTAGTTTTCGACGTCCCGTCTTTATACCAGACGTCCTTCGGACGCACTAAACAGAAGACGTTAAAGTCGTCTGCCTTGGTTACCGTTATTATACTAGACGTTAAAGTCGTCTTCAAACGACTTTAACGTCTCTAGCATAAAAACGGCCAATTTTCAGAATTTGGATGCCAAAGTGAACACTGTAGTCACAGTGGCACTTGCATTAGGTGCAATTCAAAATCCTGGAACCTTAAGGGTTTTTTTTCTGATGGCAAGATGTTCAGGTACAGGCTGGAATAAAATAGTGGTCTATGAAATACTAAAATGAACTAACCATGGACTACTCCCGAGAGAATCACCTAAAATAAGAAAAAATACTTTAAAGATCAATTTGATGTTGTCAACCCAAAGATGTGATTGCCCACCGAACAGAATGGCTTCAACATTTTGGCATTAAAAAATCTAACATAGTATAGTCATAAAAGCAACGAAATTATTTACTATGGCAACTACATCATAAAAATTAATTGTCAAATTGGCAGAAACCATTCGAAAACTTCATCACACTTTACCTTAAGATAGAGTAATTGTAAAATTTGTTAGGGTGTCTTTGCAGCAAACTTCAATGATAAGTTTGTTTTGAAAGGCAGCATTCTAAGGAAGCTATCAATAAACACAATCATAGGTTCAGGTAACCTTTCATATTAGGATTAGACCCATTCTATTGTCCTCTTTACCTCAAAGACAGCTAAGGCCAAATCTTTCACATCTAGAATAGAGATCTTCTTGTGTATTGAGAAAAGAAAGAAATAGATGTTTTTCTTTTCCTTTACCTCAAGATAGTTGAATAGTTACAAAGTTTTAATTTTTCCCTTTTTTTTTTATTTTCGACAGTGTCATCAAATAACTGCTGACAGGGCAATTTCAAAATACCCTCAAAAGGTTCCAGGGAATTAGGACTTCTTCAATTTTCCTTTGCAATTTGTTTTGCACATACTCCTTATAACTAAGGCATTCTTGAAATGTAATTTTGATTACAAAGTGGTGGTTTAACAAACTTGTAACAAATATCATGGTCCATGATGGGCCACCACATTGATGCTCTAAATCTCTATAACACGGTCACAGTGTGATTCAGGAGCAATTACTCCTCAATTTGAAAGGTAAGGTCATTAAGATTCTTCAATTTAAACAGATGACAAGCATCTCTTGGCTTGAAGAATTTAGACATTCTATTTAGTACAAAGTCTTGATAAAAATAGGTAGTCTTAGCCTGCATTTGGCTACTGAATATTGCCCAATGTCTTTAACACTGAACAGAAAGAGTTTATACCATGATGCTAGAAGTAGTGTTGCAAAAGATTTGTATTTGTGTGCAATACAGTAACCTTGCTACATCCACATATTTGAATACCCTGTTCCACAAGTGAAAGACGGTAACAAATAATTAATTTAACAACAAAAATAATGTCAACTTTAAAAATAATTTACAGGGGCTAGCTCAAAGGCCTCATTGTTCCTCTACCCTCTAGACTCACAACATTATTACACTGTTTCTTTAAATTTTACCTTTAATTATAGATTATTTCCTTATTTTGTTGCAATTCCAATTTTGGGGGACTGTTGTTTCATACAACAACTGGAATTCTGCATTTTAGGATACTCTGTCATTCTGTACTCTGCTCTTCCACTGTTCCATCATTCCATCCCAAGGAGTAAACCTGTTAAGCTCAAGGTATTGTATTTTACATTTCACTCCCTTTGCAAATTTAGTGGCTCTTCTGGGCATAAGTCACTGGTACAAATGGTAGAATGCTCTCTCTTCAAAGGAAAAAAATAATTTCTTTTAAGTTTCCACAATGTGCTGATCACACCCACTTAGATATTTCTGCAAGGAAAAGTCAATTACCTTAAATGTTGCAGAGACACCACTATGAAATCATTTTTAGATTTTACTTATCTTTTGTTTTGTCATGGCAAGAACTGAAAAAAATACATCTTTCAATCTACTGAGCATTTGTGTAATTCGTTGATTTAAATGGTAAACTCTCTACAAAGAAAAATATTAATTCAAGTTTCTTTGATGTGCTCATCACACCTATTTAGACATTTCTGCTTAGAAAGTCTTCTTTTCAATTGCCTTAATGTTGAGGAGATGCCACTGTGAAATCATTTTTAAGACTTTAATTACCTTTTGTTTCTTCATGGTAAGAATTGAAAAAAATTACTAAAAAAATTCCTCTTAGTTCTTTTTATGCATCAAAGAAAAGCCCTTGTAATGTCTTAGGCCTTGCTTGATTAAGGGTAAATTTTGAATCATAAAAATTTGCACTTCCTTTTGGGAATGCAGCAAAAATGTAGCAGTAAATTTTCATAGATACACCAAATAAACAATGAAATAAACTTAATTATCCTGGAAATGAATTTTTAAAACATTTCAAGTAGTATCATCCCCTTTACAAGAGTATAATTTATGCACATCCCAGGCATTTTGATTGGGATCTATGATTGGGAGAGAGGAGACACCAACATGGGACTCGAATTTATTTGTTCCAGACATTCCATGTGCCCTCCCATTCTAATACGAAGTTCCCATTCTGCTGCTAAATCACACTATTTGATCATTTACATTGCTTTCATTTATAGGATGGCAGCCTTTAATGAATCTTTCAAGTTCTTTTTTAAGGTAGTCCATTTGGGAGTAGTCCATTTTAGTAGGGCTTGTTCCATCAAGGTGGTCCAACCAGTATCTGTGGTCAAGTTGGCAAAGAGAGTTACATGCTCAACTAAGCCACAATATCTTTGTAACTGCAGTCTTACTGAGAAACAGGCACATTTAGTTTCAAAATTTTTTAATTTTAAGGCAGGGAAGGTTAGCAGCTTTTTAAGGGCAATATTTCACACGATAAAATAGGTCATTGTTTTCTTGAGCAGCACGACTTTTTTGATTCAGTTTTCATTAGCACAGATTACAATTTAAGACATAAAAAGTGGAAACCCAAAATAATTATCATATTCTTGCTTCAATCAGGGAGTACATTCATCATGGTAAATATGAAAACAAATAAGAAAATAATACAGTAGGTAAGCTTAATGAAATTTCATTTGATTGACTGGCTTATACTTTCGCACGAAAAACTTCAATAGCCTCCCATTCCATGAACAAAGGCTGATAGTTTCTAAAGAAACTGTTTGGGGCTGTGTCGGTGGGGGTAACAAAATAATTTGAATATATCAACAAATTCAGTTTACCATTTCAACTTTGTTGATATATTCAAATTATCCCATTCCTTGAGTTGTCATATCACAAATGAATCCCAGTAATTCAAACCTTAAAGGAAATAATTTGAGTAGTAATTCCCAGTAATTCAAACCTTAAAGGAAATAATTTGAATATATCAACAAATTTCAACTTTGTTGATATATTCAAATTATCCCATTCCTTGAGTTGTCATAGCACAAATGAATCCCAGTAATTCAAACCTTAAAGGGAAATTGAGAAATTTTTGAGTTATGAGTTCAAGTTACCAAGAGATGAAATCAAAGGACCAGAAATGAGGGAAAATCAGTGTTGATTGTTTTTTCTTTCAATACATTAGACATCTTACTCAAATCTGATCAAAGGAAAGTCCAGTGAAAACGGAATTCTAAGTTATTGCAGAAATCAGAACCTAGCATAAATTTATTGACTGCAGCACATTGTGTGTTTTGATTTATCACCTATCAACACATGGGGTTTGATATAGTTCCAGTTATCAAGGATAAAGATGTATAAAGAGTGACCTGAAGTGAAATGAAAACTGCATTAAATTGGCTAGACAGTCGAGTCATCAAGGGTTCAAGTCATCAAGGGTAAAATTGCAGTGATTGAATAACAAAAATCCAGGGTCAATCTATTTTGGTAAACAGTAATTTAAAGAGTTGTATCAAAGAAGAGCCCTTATATGGTATGAAGCCTTGCTCAGTTAAAAATGGAACTTTGAATCTTGAAATCTTGGATCTCTTGCTACTAAGCAATCATTGGGTGAAGTTGAGCATGATATCGTGAATTATCAAAACCAAGGCCTGAGTTATCTATGGTAGCCAAAAGCTGAGGTTTATAACACAGACAATACATGGATGAGTACCTTGGAAACTAGGCAGACTTTCACCCTGACATAACACCCCAATATCTGCAGCAGATATCCGGTTATCATGTCAATTTCACATGCTACTGTATTTTGACTGAATGCTCTTGACCGATCAGATGTTTCATAGTAAGTCCAATGTCTAATAATGATGCTTGTGTTTCAGTCTCCTTCTGGGAATGTAGCTAAAATGTAGCACTAAATTTACATAAATACACCAAAGAAAACAATGACATCGAATTAATTGTGAAAATCTGTGGCGTTTTGATCGCGATCAGCGAAATGCCGTCCTGAACTTGTTGGGAGAAAGTCAACTTCGCTCGTTCTAGACTATTCCATATGCTCTCCACTTCCGTTCACGTTCTGTTGCTGAATCGCACTTTATTTGATCATTTACATCGTTTGTATCTTCAGGTGGGAAGCACTTACCTTCGTCCGTTTTCACACTCGACTAGGCCACAATATCTTTCGTAGCTGTAGTCTTACTGAGTAACAGGCACATCCCATTTCGAAATTTTCGAATTTTAGGGCAAGAGAAGTTATAAAAGCTTTCAATGACCGTTTCCCTTTCTGGGTAGAGAACATTTTCTTGTTCATTGTTACAAAAATATCATTCAAAACATTTCAAGTTAACAAATACAGAGAAAGCAAATGTCAAATGGGTTTACGAAAGTAGTATACTGACCTATTTGTGAAGTAAATTTCGAAAAGGGAATCTGCAATACTCGACCACCGCCACGAGCGCCTGGCTACGTCAAAATTTGGTCACGCGGTCAGGTTCGACTTAGCAAGGTAAAGAGATCGGTAAAGAACATTTTCTTGGTCATTGTGCCATTGTTACAAATACTGAGAAAGCGAATGTCAAATGGGTTTACGAAAGTAGAATACTGACCTATTTGTGAAGTAAATTTCGAAGAGGGGATCTGTTGTACTCGTCACATCAATGAATGCGCTCCTCGTCTGATATTTGGTTAGGTAGAAAAGAATGCGCTGGTCGTTTAATATTTGGTTAGGTAGACAAGAATGCGCATGCGTATATTGATATCGTCGTACTCAGTTTTATCTTGGTTTGAGACCCCAGCAGAGTTTCAAGACTTAAAAAAAATGGCGGCCGTTACCGCATGGCGCGTTCGAAGTTTAGATCAGAGAGCCTTTACGCTTTTGGAAGGCGAACATGGATGTATCTACCGAAATTTTTTTAGAAGACGTTGTTTTCGTGCAGATGTGAGGTCTACAGCTGAGGTGAGTGGTAGTTTTGTGTTTCATTCGGCAAATAGGCCTTTTGCAACAAACCGTCACGTGACTGATTTTCCCTTAGCAACGCCATACTGGAGGGCAAGCTGTTCAGTCTTTCCTTGACAACCAACAAAGCGCGAGTGGGCGGAATAGATACAAAGGTAAGGTTAAAGGTCTCTTAGGGCGTTTGTTTGTCATAATGTCACAAGAAAACAATAGGAAAATATCTCTTTAGAATTTTTACATACAACTGAACTAGTCTTGGACTGAAATCAGTCACCAAAGGCCGAGTTTCAGACTCGTGAAGTTTTAGCACGTGCTCGCTTAAAGCGATAGCAATGGCAGCGACCTAACCGAAAAATCTCCTTGATTACATTTTAATAATTCGACTTGATCGCTTTTTTTAAGTAAAAGTTTGGTTTCAGGGTTTTGACTGGATTGTTTGAATTTAATTTATGCCGGTAGGTGAAGAACTGAGG